CTGCTCGACAGTCGCCGACCCGGTGGAGTGCACCGGATACGTCTTCTCCAAGGATGACAGTCCACGCAATAAGGCGATTGACGTGCAGGACCTGGCCACTGCCACCAAATCAGGTAGAAAGATTTTTGTTCGGCTATGATCAAAGGAGATCATCATTGTATTTATCATCTTTCCATCTTCATTCAGGCTCAAATGCTGCCACTAAATTCGCCCTGCAGTCCTTCTCTGCAAACTATCTGAAGTTCACCCGAGAGCACAAAAGAACCGAGGATTTTGTCCGTGGCCACCTGCCCACTGGCTTCATCCTCGACAAGACCGTGGTCCTCTTCAACCTGCTCTCCTCCGAGGTCATTCTCCTTCGCTACACCACCGTCCCTCCCTGGGGAAGGGAGTTCGAGGACCGGCTGGTGCCCGTCATCGCCCGGAGCAGTATGGCCAAGTTCTTCCGGTGTCCGGGTCGAAGGGGTGATAATCACCACAACAATGGAGGTCTTTCCTCCTCTGAGAAGGTGAGAGGGGCTTATCTTTTTTCGAGTAAAACTGTTTGGATCAAGTTATAACATCAAAAATATTTCCCCCTTCACCAGCCTCACTCCTTGGCCTTTAAACTCTCGGCTCTGCTCATTCTGGTCACCCTGCTCACCGTTCTCACCACTCTCTGCCTGGTAGTGGTGCGAGCCATGCGCCGTCGTCGATCGAGTCACCAGTTTTTGGCTGGGAAGCAAATCGTTTCAGTAAGAGGTGGTGGTGGAGGTGGCAGGCCAGAAACCTCCACCGTTTCCCGAAAGTCCAGCTACAGTCACATTGAGGGTGGCGGCGGAGGAAGAGGAGGAGGAGGAGGAGGAGGAGGACGACCTCAAGGTGGACTGAAGAATAACTCCGCCATCGGTACTAATCGTCGCGAGGAAGTCTCGAGAAGCACGCTCAACAGCGCCGCCAGCAGCAGCAGTACCAAGGAGAGAGAACATGGGAAGATTATGGCGGCGGCAATGGCGGCAGATAAGGCAAATTCAAACAAGATTACTCCTGCTGGTGGCGGTGGTGGTGGTGTCAAAGCGGGGGAAAAGAAGAAGAAGAAGAAGGGGGCAAAGACCCGGTAAAGATAAAGAGAGAGAGAGAATGAGGAAACAAATTTTAAGACTGCTGTTTTCCAGTTTTCTACGTTGTGGTTTCCTTTTCAGTTTAAAGCCGCCAAAACTTGTGCACATTTTTATATCAAATTTTTGTTTTTTATAATGCAGCTGATTAAAATTATATTTAGTACAAGTCATGTTCAACATGTTTAACGCACATTTTATCCGCACATTTTATCCGCACATTTTATCCGCACATTTTATCCGCACTGTCGCGGAATTTCTTCCGCAAAGATGAGAGAGAAAGAGAGGAGAGAGATGGGCACGGGCGCGGGTGTTGGTCCGGTAGAAAGAAGAGAGGCACGGGCGCGTACGATGGGCGAAATGTTTAATCGGTAGAGGGTGAGGGGAAGGGTAACAGATATGAAGAAGAAGTAGGTGGTGAAGGGCCACTCAGGGCGGATGGGCGCAAGGGCTCGGGAGTCCAAAGACAAGGGCTCGGGCACGGCACGGGCACGGGGCACGGGGCACGGCACGGCAAAGAGGCCGGCAATGATGATGGGCGCGCACAGGGCCGCCGGTCGACGGAGCCTCTGCTCGGTGACTGCTGCGGACTGAGACTGAATGCTCTAATGCCTCTTCCCCTTCTTCTTCTTCTTCCCCTTCCCCTTCCCTAAGAAATACATTGATTCAAGAGTACACTGCATAAACTGAGTTTATGCTGGCCCTGCTAGTAATAATAATAATAGTTGGGGGAGGGGTGGAAGAAGATATTTGGGAAGAAGAGGGAAAAGCAGAAGAGGAGGAAAAAGGAAGAAGTACAAATTGAAATAGAAAGCAAAGCTTCAGTAGTAATAATAGTAATAATAAAGTTATATGAACAGAGAGACTTTAGTGTGCAGGTGTGTGCAGCAACACAATACCACTTCACCACTTCTTTTGACTGAGGAAAGGTTGTGGTGTACGAGAGAGAACACACTGATAATGCACTTAGTTGGCCGCTCCACTGCTGGGCAGTTGCTGCTGATGCTGTTGGTGTTGGTGTTGTTGGTAGGCCATCGAGGTGGGCGGTGGCGGGATGTTGCCGCTGGCGGTAGTGTTGACGGGCACAGTGCTTCCCGGGGCAGCCGGATTAAACATGGAGACATTCGTCGGCGGGTACATCATCGAGCCGTAGGGATTAGAGGGAGGCGCGGAGAAGGTGGAAGGGCCGCCGTAGTACAGAGAGGGAGAGGGAGCTCCTGCGGCTGATGATGACGGTACAGCTGAGGGCCCAGCAGCACTAGTGTTTGCCATTGACATTGACATTGGCGGCGGCGGCGGCATTGAGGAAAAGTTGCTGCTCATTGAGGAGAACGGCGGCATTGAAGGAGGAGCTCCTCCGTAAGGATTCGACGGTGGTGGGCGGTGCTGAAAGAGCGGCGGCGGCGGTGCTCCCCCCGAGGCGGCAAATGACTGCGGCAGCGGGTGCGAGTGGCCGCCCATGGCGGAGGAGGAGGAGAAGGGCGGCGGCATGGTGAAGGACATGGACGGGGCGGCAGTGGCGCCGCTGCCCGGCATCGAGACGTACCGCAGATTGGCCGGGGCCGCATACGGATTGGAGAGAGGAGGCATCGAGGAGGAGGGGGCAATGGAGGGCGGTGGCGGAAGAGGCGCCGAGGAGGTGGCCACTGAAGATGGCGGCGGCAGGGGTGGCGCCTGCGAAGCTCCGCTGCTCGCTGTGGGCGGTGGCATTGTGAATGCCGGTGTTGAAGCCGCCGGTGTTGACGATGCCGGTGATGTCTCACTGTTTTCTAGTTTGTTGCTGGTGCTGGTGCTGCTAGGGCTGCTGCTGCTCACCGCTGTGGGCGTCGAGGACTGGAGCACCGACTCGCTGCTCGCCGAGGAGGCGATTGAGAGCGAGGCCAGTTCAGAGGAGAGCGCCGAGGAGGAGGAGGGCGGCGGCGGCGCCGGCGTTGAAGATTGCTGGGCCTTGCTGGCCAGCTCCTCCGTCTTGATCTCCGTCTTCACAGTGGCAGAGGACACAAAGGGCGACGGGGGAGGTACCCAGGATGCCAGACTCGGCGGCAGAGCAGGATATGAGGAGGAGGAGCTCGAGCTTCCGTAGGCTGGCACCTGAGGTGGCGGAGCAAAGTTCGATGACTGACCACCGACTGAGGTTGAGGTGAAGAGAGGGGCCGGGCCCGCGTTCGCTGCTGCTGCTGTTGAGGGCGTCATAAAGGGCAGCGGAGGCGGCATGGTGAAAGGCGGCGGAGCGGCGCTCGAGGGAATCAAAGCAGGGTTGGGGGTGAAGGTGGAGGAGGTCACGGGAGGTGGAGGAGGAGCAAAGGCCGCCGCCGCCGCCACACTGCCCGGAGGATACTGTCGTGTTGGGGGCGGTGCCGCCCTCGCTGATGCCGCACTCGTCGAGGAGGTGCTGGTGCTGGTGGCGGTGGTGATGGATGGGTACAGAGCAGCAGGTGCAGGTGCAGCACCCGAAGCATCGGTGGCAGGCGTTTCCGACTGTCCCTCGGCCAGGCCATTAGTTGGAGCACTGTTGTTCGAAGGTGGTGGTGGAGGTGGTCCAGACTGCAGGTCCGTCGAGGTCATCAGACGGGTTGTTTCTGTGGCCTCGGTGGCGCTCTTCGGCACCGGGATTCGATGCAGGTAGCCGTAGCCAATGTCGCAGCCCAGGCTGCCCTGGCCGCCCCAGTTCCTGTGAAAGTAAGTAGTAGTTAGCTCTGAAGTAATTTGAGTCAAAACAAGTACTTACGAGTTCGGTATGATGGTCACCTCGCGGCAGTTGTCCGCCAGTACGTTGTACACAAAGAGCTTCAAGGGCTTGCCTTCGTAGCTGGAGATTAGATTGTACAGGTCGTCGTTCTGTTGACAGTGAAGTGAGCACAAAAGAGATGTTAATGTTTTGTAAAGTAAAGCTAGCTTTGCTTACATCCTGAATCATCGAATCGGCGCCGATGATGTAGTCGGTGTTGGCGTGAAGACCGGCCACGTCAGCCGGCGAGTTGGGCGCAATGTCCAGGACGTGCCAGACGTTTTCGCTTGCACCTAAAGAAGATATTTAAGATTGCTTGGATTAGTAAAGCACAGAGATGATCAAACGGGGGGAACAACCCAAGACGAACCTTCAAATGAAGCAAAGCGAATGCTGACGCCGAGCAGTCCCTGGCCGCCCCATTTGTTGTTCGGCGTCAGCTCCACCTCTCTGATGGTGGACTTCTTAGAGTTGTACACTATCATCTTGAGCGGCTTGTCAATCGACGCCTTTAGTATCTCCTTCAGTGTGTCGTTGTTTTGATTCTAGAAGGGAAGAAAAGGGGTGTGCCAGTTAGAATCGAAACTCGAAACTGTCAGCTTTCTAACTTACCAGCCGAGTATTGCCCACGGCGATGATAAAGTCAAAGTACGCCTCCAGGCCGGCCTTGCTCCCGGGCGAGTGCTCCTGTACCTGATTATAAAAAAACACCGGTAATTAGCTCTCTCTTCTCTGTCATCGCCGATGATCACCAATCTCCTCCTCTTACCTTGAGGACATGGTACCCCTCGGTGCCGCCACCGGGAATCTCCACCGACTGCGAACTACCCATGATGACTTGCTCTTGAAGTCTGGAGAATAATTTGAAGAAAGACGAGTTGCTAGACGAGTCCTGGTGATGATTCGAGGCGATGCCGGTAGCGAAAAGTGACCAGGTGGCACACAAAACAGTGCTGCTGATGCAGTGATTGAAGTGAGTGAAAGATTGTTGGCAGAAAAGTCCAATGTTTACGTGTCGTAGAGAGAGAGAGAGAGAGTCGCCGCTTGCCTAACCGTAGAAGACGTATGGCGCCCAGTGATTGCTGATTTTTTGCCTTTACTCAAAAAAGGTTATGATTTTTGTTGTAGTCCCTCTGCACTGTGATTTAACACCCAGGAACGGCGTTTATCTTTTCGTTTACGGCTGTGTGATCTTTGCTCAACACAGTAAAAGCAGTGCATCATAACGTTTTCAAATCCTGGCAAAAAAGCAGATAGAAAAAACACAAAAAATATTTTTTACCACTACGCTGCCGCCGTCTGTCGACACTTCAGGAGAAGCTGTAGTGTACAATGCCGCTATGGCGCAACTGGTGGCGCTAAATTCGCGTCACTTACTCGGCGAACGGCTCGCACCAGAACCACGTTTCCTGGTCATTCTGGCTGGCCTAAAGATGATCGCGCTCTTTTGTCCACAACTTTATCTGCTGCTGCATTCTTTGGCCTGCAAAAATTGTTGGGGATCCAACTGAAACAACTGAACTGTCTGGAGCCGACCGCCGACAATGGAACATCGTCGCTGCTGCTCACCTCTTTCGAAATGCAGCAAGTATGTTTGCCGTGTTCTACTTTTCTCTCTTTATCTGACTTTCTCTTTCTCTCCTTCACTCCTAGCCTGTTCACCTGGTCGACCACTGGTACAATCACTGGAAAGAGGAACCTCAGAACGACACCAGGAGCACCGCCGAGCAATGTAAGTAGAACCGTTTTCTTACAGTCTTCTTCGTTGTTGTTAGAGTAGAGTCGTAGCCCCGACTTTTATTTGTATTTATCTTTGTTAGACAGAATTTTGTTTACTTTTGATAAGATTTCTCTTGCTGCTGCTGCTGTTGTTGTGGTTGCGATGTTACCAGCAGCCCGAGCCATTGGCGCCCTCGTGAATGTGGAAGGCCACCAGAACCTTGCGGTAGATGTCGAAGCGCTTGTGGGCGGCGGGCATGCGACCGGTGCACTCCATGCCGTTGATGGCCCGCGTCGCGTCGCCAAAGTGGTGCGCCCGCACGCCGGCTCGGTTGTGGACGTGCACCTTCCAGAACCAGAAGGCGGTGCCCCAGGCGGCGTCCTCGTCGCGGGCCACCAGGTCCGGGTCGTTGATCAGCCGCAGATCGTGGTAGAGATCAAGGGAGGCCGCTTTGTAGTTGTAGGAATGCGTCAGCTGGATGTAGCCCCTGCCGTAGTAGTTCTTGCCGGGCACGCCCACCGAGTGGTCGTACACGCCCGGGCAGCCGGTCTTGACGCAGATCAGCTCGCGCTTGTAGCGCAGGCCGCCGGACTCCCAGAGGATCTGCGCGAGGAACATCGCCGCCTCCACCTTGTTGCTGATCTGCCCCGCCGGCAGGCGGTGGTTGAAGGCGTCGTACTGGTTGCGCTGCGGCGCCGGGTAGCCGCTGGAGGTGACCGCGTGGCTGAACTCCTCCCACGAGACGAGGGCTGGTGGTTCGATTCGATTCGAATTCGATTAGAAAAGCATTAGATTAGCATTGCTGACTTGACTTGGGACTTGGGTTCTTTACACTCTTTCTACGTACCTGCATCAGCTGCGCCGAGGCTGCAGACAAAGAGAGCAAGTGCTGCGGCTAGAAAAAATTTGGTCATGTTTTTGTTGTCGTTGTTTTTACTGCGCTAGGTTGAGTCGGCCGCTTGCAGGTTGTTAAATACCCTGTGTCCTCAGGACGATCTAATTAGTCTCTTGTCGCTGTTTTGTGTCATTTGACTGCTGCCTTCTCGATTAGATGATAGGATTGTCTCTCATTGTCTGTCTCCCTCCTTCTGTTGGCTCCAAAGTGCATCCACAGGTCCGTCAATTGGGCTGCGGATTGCTCTGTGCCTGTTAAGGGCAGATCTCTGCACTGCGCACGTACTCACGCAGTTGATTGCAAGCTGCTCTCAATTGTTTCTCACCGCCTAATTAGTGATAAGTTGGGGAAAAGCTGATACCGATTTTGACGTTTTAAATGTTTGATTGGCTATATTTGGCTATTACTTTTTGATTAGCTTTTATTACGTTCTAGCGAGAGATTTCTGGAGAGGAGTTTCTCTAATTGATTTTATCGCTGATCATTGACTGCTGATTTGCCGTGTCTTTATTCGGTACTTTAGTTGTTGTAGCAGCGTTTATTTTTATTTATTTAATTCCACTTTATTTGTTGAGAACTTTTGTCTTTGTGAATCAAAGCATAGAGGAGGAGAAGAGAATTGAGCGTCAGAGAAAGAGATAGAAAAAGGTACTGCAAAAGAGAATGAGATATCTTTGTGTGTGTGAGTGTGTTCAATTTTTCTTTTCTAAGTAGCTTGTGCTGTGTTTAGCTGTGTGCTTTGAGATTTTGAAAGTTGAGAATTTGTTTGCTTTACTGTTGTTTACATAAAATGAGTACTTTACACACGGCGCGTTGAGCCGCGATTCTGCTTCTCGAAGGACTTTTTCTTGCCGCTGCTTCCATTACTTTCCGAGGACTTTCCCGCCAGCTCGACCGAGGCCTTCTTCTCCGGCTGTCCTGCTGCTCCGGAAACGGTGGACTTCACCTTGGGCTCGTTCACCGGTCGTCGGAGGTGATCACCATCAGAGGAGGAGTCGTCCACAAGCTCAGGCTGTGACTTGGCCACCACGGGTGGTGAGGCACTTCGGTGCACCTCCTCCTCCTCAGCGGCCACTTCCGGCGCCGCCGAGTCGTCCTTGTGCTCCGCTCGGCTGTTGCTGTTTCCGTTCTCTCGAGTGTCCAGCTCGGCACTGTCTGCTGCTGCCGAAGCTGAAGACTTTGCATCGTGGTCCAGGGTGACGGCAGGCGAAACCGGAAGTGAAGAAGGCTTTTCATTCTGCTGCTGCTGCTTTTGTACGTCCTCCACCACGGCGGTGCTATCTCCTCCCGAGTAGGGCGAAGACGAGCCAGTGGATCCTCCTGATCCTGAGCCGGAAGCGGGCGACAGCTTCGAGGCGCTCTCCGGGACAAAGTACTTGAGCAGGTTGGTCTTCGGGCAGGAGCGGAAGTCGTAGTCGGAGTAGAAGTAGAGCGACCGCTGGTCGTCGCACTGCAGACCGATGTTGCTGTCGCCCGCCTCCACCCTCATCCACCAGTCCTTGGGCGCGTCGAAGAGCCACTTGATGCTGCAGTCGCAGAGGATCGGGCAGCTGTTGACCCGAATCTTATTGTCGGGGTTGACGGCGAGGAAGGGCGCGTAGATCTCCTCCTCGAGTGTCAGCAGCTTGCACTGCTGCTTGCCAATGCTGTGCAGTGGGTGCTCGAGGAAGACGTGGATGGGGCGGTAGGCGTAGCTGAGGGCGTTCGACTCGATGCTCGAGGGGAGGAGGCCGTCGACGTCGAGGTGCAGCTTGAGGAGCGTCTCCGTGGGCAGGTCCGACTTGAAGGACTCGTCGGTGAGGCGGAACTTGCCGGTGAACTTGATGGAGAGGTACTTCAGGCGGCTGAAGGTGCTGAAGCGCATCTCGGAGAGCTGCGGGGTGTTGCGGATGACCACCTTGGTTAGGTTGTCCTTGGTGGTGGTGAAGGCCTAAGCAAATAGAGGGGTTGATTAGAATCGATTTGATTTTCATTGTTTTCCTATCTTTAACTTACCCGCTCATCGACGTACTTCAGATTGGGACAGTCGTCCAGCTCGAACTCCTCGAAGGTGATGTCGCCGAAGCTCTTATGGGGAATGGACTCGATCTGGAGGTTGGAGAGGACGAAGCGGCGGAAGGTCTTCTCCTCTGGGAGGAGGTTCCGGTTCAGCGAGTAGAAGACGTCCTCGATGTTGAAGTACTGGTTGGAGCCGCAGTGGAGGAGGTCGGTGCCGAAGACGAGGCAGGGCGGGAGGCACTCCCAGCTGCCGTTGCTGACGCACATCACGTCCTTCAGGCCGGCGCGGATCTTGCCGAACTCGTTGAAGATCCACCGGGACTGGCAGTCGCAGCTGAGGCGGTTGCCGCCGCTGGGGTGCTTCGACGACTGCAGGGTGATCACATTGCGCTCGTTTTCGTTGAGCAGCGGGCGGAAGACCCGCTCATCGAGGTGCCGCAGCTCGGGATTCCCGGCCGCCTCCTGGCCGAGCAGCAGGCGGACCGGGCGCTGCGTCTCCGCGAAGGCGCCCGTCTCGATGCTCGTGTCGGTCAGATTGTTGCCCGCCAGGTTGATCTCCAGCGTCTCCGTCGACTCCCAGCGGAAGCTGAAGGCGTTCTTGTGGACCTTGTCGATGCTGTTGAGGGAGAGGTCGATGGAGCGGAGGTTCGACAGGTAGTAGAAGGCGTAGCTGCCCACCTGGCGGATGGCCGCGTCGCGGCTGTTCGCCAGGTTGATGCTGATCTTCACTAGCTTCCGCTGGAAGCGGCCCTTCAGCGGGCGGAAGGCGTGGTGGGGGACGGACTGGAGAAGAAGAAAAAGAGGGGGAAGTTTTGGTTAGAATTTGGCTCTTTTTTTAGATCGGAAGA